TATATATATATAATTTTAATTATTGTTATGTTTTTTTAGAAATTAAAGGGAATATGTAAAACCCCTGTCACATTGTTTTTGGCATCTGTGTCCTATTGGGTCCCACAGGAAATGAGGGAACCCCCCTCCTAGACAGTTCCCACTAGAACAAGTGTCCCCATTGGAAGATTTCCCCTCTATTCCTGTTTTGGTGATAACTAACAATTTTAGATTTTCCTATTGTCCAGGTGACAATAGAGGGGGTGAATCTCTCCAGATCTGATACAAACAGCAGTAAGAACCATACAGGGGATGAAACATGTCACTACTTTATCCAAAACTAAAAAACAAAAAAGTTTGATACAGTTTTGTGTCAGTGTCACTCGTTATGTGTCTTTGGCAGTATTTTATTCATCTTCAGTGTAGAACAATTTTATTAACACATTAAATAAAGTTTTCAAAATATGGGAGGTGACTGTATGACACTTATGTCTCTAGCAGAGTAAAGCTGGCCATACGCAAGGTGAACTTCAGCCAGTTCTTGATAAACGAGACAAAATGCGATCTGTGGGTGGCCCTGTTGGCTGCCTGCCGACTGAAATGCTTCAATTTTCAAATTGAAGAATTTCAGGAGTCGCATGGATTTGCTGCAGTCACTGTTCGGGTATTCTTACAGCGACTGGTGCCAGCTGTCAGAATACAATACTCGGCAGAGGAGATTAACAACAGCATGGATGGAGGAATCTGATAGATCCACTAGTGTATGGCCAGCTTGACACCACTGCGTAACATTAGCTTGACATTGCCATGGAAAAAATAAATATATAGGTATCTCTCTGTGTATGCCTGCCTCTAAGACCTCATTCACATGGATGTATTGATTTTATGTAGGATCTTGCTGACTGCAAGGTCCTGTGTAAAAAGTGCCACTAGGCAAGGCCAACATGAATAGTGTGTAATCAGCGGCGCCGCTGATTACACATTGTTTACGTGTCGGGCCTGAAAGAGTCGTTTGTTTTGCAGCGTCACATGCGCAGAATGACTTTGCCTTCCGTCAGTCTGACATGTCCTGCCACGTGAATGACTCATTCAGGGCTGACATGTAAACAATAGTGTGTATAATCTTTCTTCTCCTTCTCTCTTTCTTTCTAAACAATAGTGAGTAATATATCCCTCTCCCTCCCCCTCTCTCTCCCTCCCCCTCTCTCTCCCTCCCCCTCTCTCTCCCTCCTTCTCACTCCGTTTTTTCGTATAATATCTTAACCATTCCCCCTCTTCTAGGAACACTGATAACATTACAGTGACTAATAACCCCTAAGATTTTTTTCTTCATTATGTGTCCATTAAGTAAAGAATAGGTCATTCAGCAACTTGGTTGATCTTTGGCAATCACCACTGTCTAATGTCTCTATAGGTATCTTGTGTTTTTTCATTGACCAGGTTATAACCCAAAGGATATGCACACATTCTAGGAGATTAGATTAGGAGATTCTGCTTTTTGTTTTGTAATCTGTAGCAGAAATATGAAAGCAGGAAATGAATTTGAATGCCGTGGGAATGCTCCATTATGAAATCCCTCGTGTATGCCAACTTTATCACTACATGGAGATAAATGAAACATCACACTTATCAGCTCAAATAAAATATCAGGCAAAATGTGACAACACACAGCAACTGCTTTATGTGACAGGAACCATGCTTAACCCTGGACAGCTAGCGGTTGCCACCCCTTTGAATCTTCTGGACACCAGAAGCTGTTACATTGGCAGTGGAGGAGACCTGATTTTTCACTGCTGCAATGCTTTCACACTTGCAGGACTCTTACCCACCCCACTCTATGCCTGAGTGGTTAAAAGAGAAATGGTAGACTGATGAGCGTATTTCTCTTTCACTCTGCTCTCCAACAAAATGAATGGATTATTTGTGCTGCTTCTCCCACCCCAGACTGAGCTCTGCTGTCCTGGGACTGCAAACGCTGATACCAAGTCAGATTCAGGTACTTGCATGCTGAGCATATGAAAAATGTGTAAGGACTGGTTACCGTGAGTGAAAACAATATGACAATTTAATCCGTAGATCCAGAGATATGAATGGCTGAATTTATATGCAAATCTAGACTTATCATGTGAAGGTTAAGCTTGGTGGTGCCACCCCCTGAACCTCCATACTAATCATATGAATGGGGTGATTGGAAGGTGGAAAGGACCAAGCTCAGCTTTTAAGGGAAAAGTCAAGATTTGCATATAAATTCAGCTGCATATAGGTATTTTTTTTTTCTTTTTAATGGAAAAAACTTTAATATTAGTCTCCAGGGATGTATCTGTGCCTGTGAACATAATTAGGTAGACATTGTCAAAAAGCAATTCATTTAACAATACAGGAAGCTTGCCTGCTTCTTGAACAAAGTATGGTGGAAGCGAAGACCACTTGCACTGTGCTGTATTTGGGAAGGTCCCTGTACACCACAGATATACTATTTGTAGGTTTAAATGAATGTACACAGTGCACCATCACATACCGGTAGTTACTTCCAACCTGTGTCGGAGTAATTAAGCAGGAACTGTCATTGGAGGAAAGCCTCTGTCACCCAACATCTTTCCTCTGAGTGTTCCTCTTCATTATCCTTGGAAGTCTTTGGCTTTTTTACATTGACCCACCCCCCTTTGATAATCTTAATTGACATTATCAGGTGGTACCGTAGTTAAAAGTCAAACGTTAAACAGGATAAGTGTCCATCTTGTCTAATCAGATTAGACAGTCTTCACGCACAGTTGCACAGTGCTGGAAAGTTTAGGCTGGGCTGGAAAAATGCATGATGCTACATCGCAGCCTGATTCTGCTAATCTGCCATTTGCTTCTGCGCTGGCTGCATACAATGTCAGAAACACGGCATCCCTTTATGATGAAGCATTATGTACTTGTTTGTGTAGTCCCCATGCCCATTACTTTCAGACACCTAAAACTAGACTCTTTGTGGCCACTTATCCTTGTTAGCATTATATAGACAGTATGTGTGTGTATATATATATCTATCTATATAGATATATAGATCCATATATATATAGATCTATACACATATATCTATCTATCTATATACACACACACACACATAAGGCATTTAAACATGTAAAAAGCAAATTTAACTGCACCTGGTTCTCTCACTTTATTTTAAAAATATTTGTAAATTGTAGTGTTATAAATATCTGGCTGGAAGTACCGTATATAACACATGAAGTGTTGGCAGCTGTATACTGAATTGGTACACAAGGAAAGGTGTGCAGAAGTATTTTTATTTATTTATATA